GATGTCATCGGCATATTCTAAGTCACGGACTCTGTTCTCCGGGGGGAGTTCGACTCCAACGTTTGTTAGACCGGACAAAGCATTCTGTAGAACATCTTCTATGACAAAATTGAAAAGAAATGGGGATATGGGGTAGCCTTGTCGAACTCCACTAGGGACGGCGAAGGGTGGCAGAAGCTGACCATAGATATGACGATACAACTCCTTGTGGATCGATACATACCTCCCAGATACTCCATCCCTCAACAAACAGTTCCATAGTGCGGCCCTATCAGCAGAGTCGAATGGTGCGTGGATGTCTACGAACACAATGATTATTGCCCTTTGATAGGCATCACGGTGCTCTAGCAGCTGTCGGAGGATGAGGATTTGATCGAGGCATCAACGACCAGTGCGAAACCCAGCCTGTTCCTCGCGGTCTGCTCCTCACGTGTAGCGTACAATCGGCGGAGAATGCGCCCTATCTCTCAGTTTACTGAGAAAAAGCAAGGTTTCGACCTAAAAGACCAACTACCAGTTGATTCTGCGTAAAAACATGTTTGGCTGTCGCAATTTCATGCTCTGTAATTCTATTCACCACGGAACAAATTACACTTCCGTGAAGACAGGGGCTCGTATTAGAAAAGGGAAAATCTTTTCAAGTTTTCGAACCAATTTCGGAGGATTTTATACCGCTCCTCACTATGTGATTTCCCGCCTGTATCCCATTTACGTTAAGACCTTTAGAAAAGTCCACTCCAGCAAGACAAAGTATAATTCCGGACACACAAAGCGGTTTGTGTTAGTTCATCTTCCTCCGCACGACCTAATCAATAAATTTCAATGGTATTCAGATCACGTGATTCAGGCGATTAAAATTGCAATCCAATCTGGTATTTGGTAGTTGAATCTCATTACCAAGTGAATTCACTATTTGGATTTATGTAGAATACAGTTTTTGCGTTATCATTTGGGCTTGTGCAATTATCAATATAGAGAATTTATCTGATGTAAAATCTTGGCAAGTGAGGTAAAGAGAATGTTAATGTGTTAGTTCAATTCCCTCCTTTGCTTCTGAGCTTACCCTCAATGAAACATTATTGATTAACATTACTGCGTAATGTTAAAAAATAATGACTATTTTTTTGAAACTTCAACTCACTTCTTTTCAAGCAATAACGCAATGGCATTTCACAATTGTGATCCGGTTCTATATATTGGCTGCGACATCTCAGAACACATGTTGTTCACATACAAATCCTGTTAAAATGACTTCCACATGTCATTTTCGTCGCATTTATGAGATAACGCGTCCCAAAGTCACTTGGTTGTCCCATTCCTTTATTCCTCTTCCCATTTTCAGTGCAACATTGCACACATACATGACTACTCAAATAGATATGGGTAGTACGTGCCGGTTTCTGTTCAATGGTGTTTCACATAGATACCTGCAACATGTAGGCACACACCAGAGGCAGCAAACAGCAGATCTGTGACTGAGCCAAGAGAGAAATCAATACGAATATGTCCTAAAAGGATGGATGCCAGAGCGGCGTTTTTTGACCACGTGACCAACATCCGCGTTCGGCTTACTTTGATCAATGTAAACAACCGAATGCGTGCGGTCGTGCACACATATGCAAGCACGAACGAATCCCGCTCACTGCTGATCGTGGATTGGTCATTCACTGACTGGTTTGTCGAATCACATTCGAGATTGTGTGTGTGTTTGTGTCTGCGATTGGCCAAAGACCCGGCTAGGCTTAAATAAACCTCGGTCCCGACGGTCCTGATCTCAAATTGCTCGCGTGACCGATTGAGATTTCTGCTCTGCACTGTGATCATCATGCGTTGGTTACCACTGGAAGCAAACCCTGATGTTCTGAACAAGGTAAGTACCCCGATCGGGTATCAGAATTAGCCCAAACCTTCAGTATTTGGTTAAACTAGGTGCTAAGGGGTCGTGGAAATTCCACGATGTGCTGGGCTTGGATGAAGAACACCTGAAGACAATAACCGGTCAGGTCGCGGCGGTCCTCTTGCTGTTCCCCAGATCGGAAGCGGAGCAGAACAAGAAGTTGGGCGAGGAAACTGAAGACAGCACGGTGACTGTGATCAAACAAGCCGCGGAGAACGCGTGTGGCACTGTGGCTATTTTTCACGCCCTAATCAATAACAATGAGCTCATCCCGACCGAGCGTGAGTGCTCCTTGTGCTATTGGCTTACTGTGTGGAAATCACCCTGAGAGTGTGTGTGTGTGTGTGTGTGTGTGTGCGCTGATATATACCTAGAAAATGTGTATTTTGTACTCCAGTGCTCCATGGTTGGTCTATTAGAATCGAGTGAAATCTGACTCACACACATACACACCCCTGTACTGTTTCCCTTTGTCATCTTCTCGCTACACTGCTCTAGCCGGTTCTCACCTTGAAAGCTTTGTGAGCAAGACAAGCAAGATGACACCCGAAGAACGTGGCAAAGCTTTGGAACAAGACAAGGTAAATCTGTGTAGCAAGCATGACGTGAATGATAACTTTCTGGTTTCTGTCCACAGACTCTGTTCGAATTGCACGAGAGCGCAGCACAAGAGGGACAGACAAAGACACCCAGTCGTGAGAGTGATGTTCAGCAGCATTATGTCTGCTTCATTCACCACAAAGGTCATTTATACGAGTTGGGTGAGTTGCGCGCGCGTGCCCGCGTTTTGTGTTGAGGACCAGTTTGATCATGTACGGTGTTATTCCGCCATGCCGAACGAGATCGACTAAACAAACCTTTGGCACAATTGAGTTGAACTCGGTTGATCTTTACTCCACACACACACACACACATACGCACACATAAGGTGTCGAAGTGTTCGATGGAATTCATTTTTTAATTTTGGCTCAATCATTTGTGATGTTTTCTTCATTGTGCCGGATGTGCGTGTCCCGCTTAACAGCTGATCAGCGTCGTCCTGGGCATCAGTTGTTTGGGTGATAGTTTCAAAGAGAGACAGCCTGGTAACTCCAACCAGACTTTCTCAACCCGACCCCACCAAATCGGCTCTTCCCAGCCTTGTTGTCCGCTCTATCCCAAGTAAACGTATCACTCTGGTGATTTGGAATTTGTCTCTCTTACTTCGATAGCGCAATGGACTCAGTTTTGATCACATAGTTGTCACGACTACATTTTGGTAAACACGCTCTGACAGTGCTCAAATCATCAAGACTGTTGGCCGAATTTAATGCTGTGCTTTCGCATTCAATTCACTTGCAACCCATCGATAAACTCGCTTCGTTTTCTGGTAATCAATTTCAGACGGTCGACGGGTTCATCCCATCTCTCACGGGAAGACCACAGAATCCACGTTGCTCACGGACGCAGCAAAGGTCATTGAACAGTTTGTGGCACGGGACGCCGGTCGAGTGAACTTCAGCGTGCTGGCGTTGTCGTCTTAACGCATCATTCATCTGCTCTCTCTCCCTCTGTTGCATATTCATCTGATATTCCATTCATTTCCATTTTGAATACAAAAGATCGATTTGACTAGAGATTCTACTCTCCCGGCTCTGTCGG